AAGAGAGAGAGATAAAAACAATGTGAGAAAGAAACATCCATCAGCTGCCTCCTGCATATCCCCTACTGGGTATCGAGCCCACAACCCAGGTGTATACCCTGATCCTGAACCAGCTATCTTTTGCTCTGACACCATTTATTGAATAGGTCAATGTTCATCCAACTGGTTAGGACTCTATTCTATTTTAAATTAAATTTTGTATATATAGTGTAAGATAAGGCTTCACATTCATTCTTTTGCATGTGGATATACAGTTTTCTCAAAACAATTTTTTGAAAAAACTGTACTTTTTCAATGAATGGTCTTGGTACCCTTTTCAAAAATTGCCAGTACCACACTGACTTTTTTTTTTTTTTTTAATCCTTACCTAAGGACATGTTTACTGATTTTAGAGAGAGGTGCGACACTCCATACCGACCAGTGCTGCTTTGATTACTGTAGCTTTGTAGTAACTTTTGAAATCAAGAAGTGTGTCCTCCATCTTTGTCCTTTTTCAATATTGTTTTGGCTATTCTGGGTTCCTTGAGAGTTCATATGACTTTTAGGATGGATTGTTTTATTTCTGCAAAAACGTCCTTGGGATTTTTATAGAGATTGATATAGATTTCTTTGTATAGTATTGCAGTTTAACAATAGTAAGCCTTCCTGTTTATGAACACATGTGTATTTCTATTATTGCTATCTTCCTTAATTTAAATTTCTTTCAGAAATATGTTAGTGATCCAGTTTCTCTGAATTGTCACCAGAATTTTTATTTTACGTAACTTTTCTAATAGATGTGTAGTAATATCTCATTCTGATTTTAATTTGCATTTCCCTGATGGTTAATGATGGTGAACATGTTTCATGTGCCATTTCTGTGTCCTCTTTGAAGAAATGTTCCTTCGTGCTTGTTTTCCATTTTCTAATTGTATATTTTTTACTGTTGAATTTTGAGAGTTCTTAATTTAAGTATCCTACTGTCAGATATGTGATTTGCAAATATGTTCTCCCAATCTTAGCTTGTCTTTTATGATTTAAGAGAGGAATGGGTGAGGGAGAGATAGAAACATCAATGAAGAGAGAGAAACACCAATTGCCTGCCTTTGCACACCCCCAACCGGGGTCTGAGCCCATAACCCGGGCATGTGCCCCTGACCGTAGTCGAACCTGAGACCCTTCTGTCTGCAGTACGACGCTCTATCCACTGAGCCAAACTAGCTAGGGCTTAGCTTGTCTTTTCATTCTCTTAACAGGGTCTTTCACAAAGCAACATTTAAAATTTTGATGAAGTCTATGTATCATATTTTTCTTTTATGGTTCATATTTTTAGTATTAAGTCTAAGAAAGAACTTCATCAAACCCTGAGTCCTAAATTTTTTTTCTAAAGATTTTATACTTTTACATTTAAAATTTTTTAATGTATGATCTATTTTGAGTTAATTTTTGTCTAAAGTGTAAGGTTTATGTTGAGGTTCATGTTTTTGTCTATGGATATCCATTTGCTCCAATATATTGAGAAGATTATCCTTCTTTCATTGAATTGCTTTTGGATCTTTGCCCTAAATTAGTTGGCTAATTTATATTTATATTTGTCGAGGTATATTTACGGCTACTCTGTATTGTTCCATTGGGCTATGTATCTGTCTCTCAACCAACCACTCAGTCTTGATTACTTTAGCTGTCAAAGTCTTGGCATTATGTCAAATAATTTCTCCCCTTTTGTCACCCCCCCCAAAAAAAATTGTTTTAGCTATTCTAGTTCCTTTGCCTTTTCATCTAAGTTTTAGAGTTATTTTGTTTATTTCTACAAAAAATCTGTTCGAATTTTGATATGAGTTGTTTTAATCCTGTATATCAATTTGGAGAGAATGGACATCTACATTATGTTGAATTTTCCAATCCATGGACACATTATGTCTCTCCATTTACATAAATATTCTCTGATTTCATTTATCAGTGTTTTGTAGTATGTAGTTTATAAGTCTTATGCATGTTTTGTTAGATTTATATTTAAATAATATTGTACTTTTTAAAAAAATATATTTTGTTGATTTTCTAGAGAGAGAAAGAGAGAGGGATAGAGAGTTAGAAACATCAATGAGAGAGAATCATCGATCAGCTGCCTCTTGCACATCCCCTACTGGGGATATGTCCGCAACCAAGGTACATGCCCTTGACCGGAATCAAACCCGGGACCTTTCAGTCCGCAGGCCGACGCTCTATCCACTGAGCCAAACCGATTTTGGCTAAATAATATTGTACTTTGAATTTTGGTTTCCATGTGTTTGTTGTTTTTATGTAGAAATACAATTGCTTTTTACATAGTGATCTTGCAACCTTGTTGAACTCATGAGTTCCAGAAGTTTTTTTTTTAGATTCTGTGATATTCCCTACTTCATTTTCAATCTGTATGCCTTTTATTTTCTTGTCTTATTACATTGGCTAGAACTTCCAGTATTCTGTTGAATATGAGTGGTGAGAGCAGAAATCCTTTTCCTATTTCTCATTTTAGAAGAAAAGCTTATCTCACCATTAAGTGTAATCCAAAACTTTGCTTTGAAGATTTTTGTAGACATACATTATCAAGTTGAGGAAACTTGTCTATTCCTAGTTCTCTGAGTGCTTTTATTATAAACTAGAAGCCCAGTGTGCAAAATCTCGCAGCCCCGCCCACCAGCATGAGCCCCATCGAGCTTATAGCCCTGCCCACCCACGTGCTCCTCATGGTGCTCACAGCCTCACCTACTCACACTGGTCTTTGGTTGTTAAGGCATGAGGGCCACAGGCCTTTTATAATATAGATGGGTATTAAATTTTGTCAGATGATTTTTCTATATCAGTAATATGGTTGTGTGAGGTTTTTTTCTTTAGCTTTTCATAATGGTGGATTAAATTGTTCAATCTACCCATATGAACCAGCTTATCCCTGGGATAAGCCCCATCTTGGTCATGGTGTGTAAAGGAAATCCTCACTTAGCATCAATGATAGGTTCTTGGAAACTGCAACTTAGAAGACTAATTTTACCATAGGTTAATTTATAAAAACAAGAGTTAAATTCCTTTGTATATTTCTGGTCACAGAACCACCAAACTTGCAAACAAAATTTCAAAACACTTCTAATATTAAACATTGAAGTAAATGCAAGCTATATATACATTTAAGAAAGATTAATAAAAATAGCCGGGACCGGTTTGGCTCAATGGATAGAGCGTTGGCTTGGGGACTGAAGGGTCCCAGGTTCGATTCTGGTCAAGGGCATGTGCCTTGGTTGCGGGCACATCTCCAGTAGGGAGTGTGCAAGAGGCAGCTGATCGATAACTCTCTCTTATCGATGTTTCTAACTCTCTGTCTCTCTCCCTTCCTCTCTGTACAAAATCAATAAAATATATATTTTTTAAAAGATTAATAAAAATAAGTAAAGTAATTCATTTGTAATCCACTTATTTCAGTAGGGGGTTGCAAGTGGCTGGGACCTCTCCTGGCAGCTCTGGGCACAGGCAGGGACCAATCCTGGACAAGACACCCTTGCATATCAGGGTACACTCATGCACACACCCACGCCCACACTCACTCAGACTGGGACAAATTAGACACACCAATTCACCTCATGTGCACCTCATGGGGGTGGAAGGAAACTGGAGTAGGTACCCAGAGAAAACCCACACAGACTTGGAGAGAACATGCAAACTCCACACATATAGTGTTCTAGCTGGTAATTGATTTCTTTTTCTTATCAATTTTATAACTGTTATTTGAGGGCCTGCTGTAATTCTTTTTGTATGTTTTTGAGTTGTTTAGTTTATTAAGGTTTATTAAGGCTTTTACATTTATATTCATGATAGATATTGGTCTGTTGGGTTTTGTGTGTTGTTGTTTTTTTGTTTGTTTTTGTTTTTCTTGGTAATGTCTTTACATGGTTTTGGTATTACATGGGAGATTGTGAAGATCTTGAGTGAAGACAGTACTGATGATCACGAAATCAAGGAGTGGATCACTTGGGCCATGGGACTATCAGAAAGAATCCAGAGGAGAAAAGGAATCTGGGAAGGAAATTAATATTGTTGGCTATAAATATTGTTGCTTGAGTGAGTATAGGGCAGTGTACCAGAGCAGACGCAGTGAGGGATGGGATGCAATCTGGTTGTCATGAACAGAACAGTTAGTGTAGTTGGTTTGTGGAGAATCTTAGTTAATAATGATGTGATAGGGCTGGACATATATTGACTGTAGGGGAAAATTATTTATATTAGTGTTAGGGAATTAATAATGGAGGTAGATCCTAAACCTGGAGGTGATGGGGGTTGGGAGAGGAGGCAGAGAGACCCAGTAGAAGGATCATTCTTGAGCAGGAAATTGAGCACTCTCTCTAGCACTGCTGGTAAGGAGGAGGGGTTGGTATGGGAGCATGGTTTCTTAGAAGTGATATTAATGTCTGGGAGTGCCTCTCCTTGTGCTTTGTTTAGGAGGGAAGGGATATTCCTAAGGCCAAAGGAATAATAGATCTGCACCAAAATGGGAACAAGTACCCAGTGGTAACACTCTCTGTGAGTAGAGTTGTGATGGTGAATCAAAGCTTGGTTTAGGTCTTTACATCAGTTTGTTTGTTTGTTTGTTTGTTTGTTTTTATCTGTTTGGTCTTTTGTGTTTGGTTTTGACAGATTGGTGAGGTCCACACTTAGGGCAAATCAGTGTGGAAACTCTTCAGTCATCCTCAGAAATAAATCAGGAGGTCTTTCTGCTAAGCTGCTGAGTCCCAGGGTTGTCCAGCATTGACCATGAGAAGGCCATTAGCTCCATCCTCCGTTGAGCCAGTTTGTAATCAGCAGTTCAGACTTAGTCCTCTGACCAATTTTGCATAATCACTTCTGGAAAATAGAAGAATAGGGAACATTTCCCTATTCATTTTGTGGTTTTGTTACAAAAATCAGACAAGAACCAGTTTCCTTCCCTAGCAGTCATTCCTCCTCATGCCTTCATTTGCTGGTACTGAAGGTGTTGATTTCTGTTCTTGTTGCAGCTGCAGCCGACTCCGCCAGGTTCAGAGCATCCTGACCCAGAGCAGCAAGTCTCAACCCGATGGGATCCTCTGCATTCTAGGTCAGTGCTTTTAATAAGGTGGGACTCAGGGCTGGGGCAAATGAGCTTCTGTTCACAGGAAGATACTGATAATAGTATCATTGTGAGATCAGCCGTGGGTTAGTGTCCCCTGCTCTGTTCCCCTGAAATCCGTTGCTGTTTAAATGAGGTTGGGTGAGATATCAGTAAGATAGGGGTACCTACCACAAAGCAGGCATTTTGTACATATTTCCTCATTTCTCCTTACAGCAAACTTACAAGGGAGCAGTGTTGTTCCTTTTTTTTTTTTTTTTTTTTTTTTTTTTATCCACAGAAGAGGAAACTGAGATTCTAGGAGATTAAACAGACTTGCTTAGGGCCAGAGTTGCAAAATTGGGCATTTATTTGTTCTTTAAAAATTTTTTATTATGAAATCATATCATATAATTTAAAAGTAAGACAATACATGAATAATAATGAACAGAGCTGTCTAACTATCCCAGATACCCACTCCTGCTCCACAGAGATAACATTGTCAACTGTATCTTTTTTTAAAACACAAATGGGAACATTTTATGAATATTGTTGTTAACCTAATTTTTAAAATTTTTACTTGTCCATATTAGAGTTTTTTAAATCTCAAGTTGACTACTTGAATATGGAATACTAAAATGTTGCAGAAATTGATGTGTTTGAAGTTGGGTGTGAAATGGAGGTAAAAAGTAAATCTCAGGACAGAACTTTATGTGAAAGTATCAGTTAGGAAACTGTATTTTCCTCCCCTTTATTTTATTTTATTTTCCCCCCATCATCATTTATCCCTCTAAACCACCCTCCACCTTTACCCACTTCCACCCGCTCAATCACCACACTCCATGTCAATGAGTTTTTTCTTCTTTTTTCTTTTTTTCTTTTTTGCTTAGTCTCTTAAGACTTGTATATTCTTTTTTTTTAAATGTGTTTTTTAATTTATTTTGGGTAGAGGAAGGGAGAAGGAGATCTTTTTTATTTATTTTGGGGAGAGAGGAGAGAGCAGAGAGGGGAGAAAAGAGAGGAGAGGGGAGAGGGAAAGAAGAGAGGGGAGAGGGGAGAAAGGAGAAGGGAGAGGGGAAAGGGGAGAAGGGAGAGGAAGGGAGGGAGGAAGGGAGGGAGGGATGGAGGGAGGGAGAGAGAGAGAAATCAGTGATGAGAGAATCTTTTTTTATTCCAGGATCCCATCCAAGAAACCATGTTAAATTAGTTGCCATGTCTTCTCAAGCTCCTATTGACTGTAACAGTTTCTCAGACTTTCCTTGTTGATGACCTTGACAGTTTTCAGGATGCTAGTCAATTAGCATGTCTCTCTAATAGGGTTTTTCTTATCTTTCTCTGATTAGAATGGGATTAAGAGTTTTGGGGTGGAAGACCAATTAGGTAACATGCCATTTTCATCACATGATATCAAGGATCCATACTATCAGCATGACTATTCACTGTTTCTATTAGCCTTGATCACCTGGCTAAGAGTGTTTTCAGGGTCTGCACTATGAAATACTCTCTCTAGCTTTCCTTCTGCCCTCTTTAGAAGGAAGTCACTACGTAGCCCGCTCTTAAGGAGCCAGGAGTTATGCTCCATCACCTGAGATGGGAGTATTTATGTAAATTATTGAAATTCTTCTGCATGGGAGATTTGTCTCTTCTCCCCACATTTATTTATTTACCCAATCATTTGTATCAGTATGGATTTGTGGATATTTATTTTATAGTTTGAGCTATAATCCTCTACTACTTTCTATTTCAGGTTGTTCCAGCTTTGGCCATTTAGAGCTTTTTCAATTAGCTCCTGTGTCTGTGTCCCTCCCTTTGATACACTCCCTTCAAAGTTGTTGTTGGTTTGTTTAGTACTTTTGTACTCTTAGATGCTCCAGGCTTATTGTGCCTATTTCCTGTTCCAGTCCTAAAATCAGCTGCTTCTTAAGGAGCCCTGCTTTTTTTTTTTTTTTTTTTTTTTTTTTAACTGGGGAATGGTATTAAAAACCAATCTGAATGTATTAATTGCTGCTGGGGTGTCATTGTTTCTAGGCCTCAGCTGACAGAATAAGGAAATATATGTGTATAAATTAACTGGTGGTTATATACAATCTGTAAATGGTATATAATCATCTGTATTTAAATGAAGTTAAATATGAATTTATACTAATGTTCTTAGCTCTAAATCATTACCATATGAATCATTCTAGTCTTCTCTTATTTATTTATTTATTTATTTATTTATTTTTATTATATTTCAGAGAGAAGAGGGAGGGGGAGGGAGAGATAGAAACATCAATGATGAGAGAGAATCATTGATCGGCTGCCTATTGCCAGTGTGCCCTTGACCAGAAACAAACCCAGGACCTTTATGTCTGCAGGCTGATGCTCTATTCACGGAGTTAAACCAGTTATGGCCTCCTCTTCTATCTTATCAATAAACTTCCATTCCACCAGTGATAAACATGGCACCTACCATTTACCATCCATTTAATTCCAGTATACCTGTGTGGTAGTATCAGATTTGTTAGCCCATAATACCCTATGAGAAACAACTTTATCAATTAGAGCACAGTGCTTACATATAGTTTCTTTTGCTTTAATTTTACATGGTCAGTCTTTTAATGTTGGCAATTTATGTAACTGGAACCCGTACAAGGGGACATGCTACGACCAGGCCTAACCTATCCACTGGTTATTTTTAACTTCGTAGCCCTTTCAATTTTTTGCGTTATGTAAGCCAAGCTATTCCTGCTTTTGATTCTTTTTCACCCCTCCCTTCACTGAACTGTTGGATGGGAAAGAACAGCACTGTGCTGCTTTTATCGCAGCTGAGAAAGGAGCCCTCCCATGTTAGAAGTCCTCTGACATAGGCAGTCCCGAGGCCGCTCTGCTCTGAATGATGGTTATTTTTTCACTGGTCTGTATGACCATTGGCAGTTCTTTTTTCCAGGCTCCAGTCATATTTTAATTCTTGGAGCTCCTTCTGCCCCAGCTCCTTGTTCTTAATCTCACACAGACAGCTGACTCCTGCCCTTAATACATCCCTTAGCTCTGGGTCATCATAGATACCCAGGAGCCAAGTAGTATATGTGTCTATGGCATTGAAAGGCAGTAGTGAAGGCAGTTGTTATTGCATTTCCTTTTTATTTATCTCTGACCCAACCCAATGGACCATAAACTTCATGAGGGCCATTTGTAGGCTCAGCACACACTCTAGTATCCAGCACAGTGTCTTAGGCCTAATAAATATTTGTGAAAATTTAGGTATGTGTGGTTCCAGTCACTGGTCCTCTTCACTTCTTTGAGTTTGTTTCAAACCACCTTAATTCTCCTTTAGTTGATCCCACATGTTTTGGTAAAGGTTTTTTTTGAGAAGTAATATTTTCCTGAAAGCTATTCCTATTCCAACTGAAAATATTTCAAAATTTTTAACCAGTATGACAGGACTTAAATTATATTTTCTGATTTTTTTTTCTATTATCAAGAATTGCTTTTTGGCAATTAACAGTTTCAATAATCTGTGCTGTTTGACAGTCTCTTGAATCCAAATAAGGGTACTTGATTCCGAGGCCTGCTTCTTTCACAGAGAGGTGCTTAGTTTGGTTTCTGGTACAAACTGGTCTAGGTTATTGCCTTTTACTTACTCATCAGGGTTTTGCTAAACAGGGGCAAATTGTTTGGGCTCATTTGCTTCCAGACTCTGATCAGAGTCTTCTTTGCCTTGCAGGAATCGATAGCAGATACAATGAAGGCTGCAGAGAGCTGGCAAATTATCTTCTGTTTGGTTTGTACAATCAGAATGCCAGTGATTTTGAGAAAACAGGGTTTTCTGAAGAAGTTCTAGATGGTAAGTATATATTGGTAAACTCTATGTGAAAGAGTTATAGCAATTATTTTTTTTGGATCATTTTTCATGGTCTTTTTATGGAAACATGTGATCAAATTTAAAATAGCATGAAGCCCCAATAAATTTTTACCTTTTTATTCATAAAAAAACATTGCTTCTTTACTGATATATTAAGGAATATGCTCTTTAGGTCGCTTGCTGGATGATAAGAGACTAGCAACAAGTAGTTTTCAAGAATATGTTTTCTGGGTAATTCTGATGTAGAGAAAAAGTAAGCATCAGTGTTTGGCTTTATATCTTGATAAGATACCAGTTTTCCTCTGAATAGCCTATTGCTTCTACATGTGGGAGGTTAAGATTATGTGCATTGTTCTGTGAAAGCACTTTCAGCTGTGAGTCAAAGATGAGCCTGCAGGATACTCCTACAAGGAAGATTTCATGTGGATCTTCAGCTTAGAAACAAGGGCTCTTTGTCCTGCTCTGTCTTTGGGAATTGTTTCCTGTGTGACTTGAATTCATGACGATGCCCATGACTACAATGAAGGCTTTCTGCTTATATTCCCTTTTCCTCAGCTCTGAGACACTCACCCTGTGTTGATGCTGCTGTGGGCTGAAGCCCAGCCGCTATCTCTGATATCACATACTTAGCATCATGACTTGTCTGCCAGACGGGTCAGGAGACACAGGAATAGACAAATCACATTGGACAAGAGACAGAAAGCTCTTGTGAAGCAGCTGGGGGACGCATGAAAACAAACATCTGATGTTGATATAATATTACTGTGAGGATTGGTACAGTGGTTCTCAACTGGGTTAGTTTTATCCTCCTGGAGACATTTGCCAATATTTGAAGACATTTTAAAAAAAAAATACATTTTATTGATTTTTTTTTTACAGAGAGGAAGGGAGAAGAGAGAATTAGAAACACCGATGAGATAGAAATATCAATCAGCTGCCTTCTGTACACCCCTACTGGGGATGTGCCCACAACCAAGGTACATGCCCTTGATCAAAATCGAACCTGGGACCCTTCAGTCCTCAGGCCGACTCTATCCACTGAACCAAACCAGTTAGGGCTGAAGACATTTTCGATTGTCACAACTAGACAGAGTGGGTAGAGGCCAGTGACGCTTCTAAACATTCTACAAGGCATAGAGCAGCCCCCCACAACAAAGAATGATCTGTTCCAAACTGTCAAAAGTGCTGAAGTTGGGAAACCCTGGTCTATATGTGAAAATCTTCTGTAGTAACTAAATACAGAATAGGATTATCTAATTCTTTAGTAGTATCTATCCCTGTGGAATGATTAAAGGTTTTGTTCTTTTTTTTGGAAGTGCAGAAAGAAGCTGAAACTATTTCTTCCATTAAATTCTTTTCAATTCAAATATAGTTTCAGATTTTTTTTTTAAGTTTCCTTATACTGTGCAGCATCTACTGGTTTGGAAAGACTTTATCTTGGCAGCGCATTTAAAGAGTTATAAAAAGACAGATGCTCATATCAGCCACACATTTCACTGCAACGAAAATTGCTAAGGACATTGTAGTACTGAAATTAAGGAAATGGTTCAAACCCTCAAAGATATGCACTTTTTTCCCCCTTTGTCTATCATGTCACCTGGTTTGATGGGTGCTTATGAAATGAGCGTTTTCTTCAAAATTAATAAATTTATCTTTTAAGTTCAAGTAGTTAGAAAGATGAGATCACCAGATTTATGCTTCTACATTTCAGTCTCTAATTATTATATGAGAGGAAAAGAGGCCAATATGGACATATTTTAAAAAGAAACTTTTAAAATAGTTTACATCTTTACCCAATTCTCTTACCTGACTATGTACTCTATTAAATGTTGTTCACAGTGATGACATCAACCCTGAGAAATCCTAAGAGTGTGTAATTAGATTTAGTAGCTATTGTGATATTTCTTTTTAATTCTTTGCTGTATCAGAGTATATTCTATGCAGAAAGCCTTGGGTTCTCTCAGTAACATCAGACTCTTCCCTTCTCAGCAGGCGATGTACATGTGATTTAGGGCAGGGTGCTTTTAGAGGGCCTGTGTAAGGAAAACGGGCAGATGGGAGGGGGCCCTTCCCCACCCATTGCCACCTTTGAACTCCAGGGTTTACCCAACAGTCAGCAGTGAAGAAGCTGCTCCATACTGTGTTTCCTAGAACATCTGACCATGTGTGCAACTCAGATGTTCTAGGAAACACAGTAAAAGGCCACCAGCATGGCCGAAACCGGTTTGGCTCAGTGTATAGAGCGTTGGTCTGCGGACTGAAAGGTCCCAGGTTCGATTTCGGTCAAGGGCATGTACATTGGTTGCCGGCATATCCCCAGTAGGGGATGTGCAAGAGGCAGCTGGTCGATGTTTCTAGCTCTCTATTCCTCTCCCTTCCTCTCTGTAAAAAAATCAATAAATATATATTTTTTAAAAAACAACAAAAAACAAAACTCTAAAAGGCCACCAGCATGGAACTTTATTTCAAGAGGCGCCTAGCAGTGTGGTCAGCTGTGGTCAGTATTCACTGGGCTCATGTTTTTGTGGATTATGGTCTGTCACACTGTATTACTATGTTGGCATTGCCCTAAACCTTCTGCCTCAGCCACCTACTCTACCAGCTTCCCTATGTCATCTTGTTAATGGTCTGCTCTCTGAGGAGCCATGGGATGGAGCATCTGATTTTCTTCTGGAAGTTATGACTGCTTTCTTTCTCAGTATTCAAACTACTTTAATAGTCCTGCCCCATTCCATGGCTCTTCTTTTACTTTTTTGAGTTTATTTGCATTCCTGGGTTGCTTTATTTATTTGACCCACCCCTGGGTGGTTATTCCTTAAATCTGTGAGCTACTGATCTATTTCTAGAAGTCCTGTCCACCTGCCTCTACTTCCTTCCTTCCTTCCAGCCTTTCCTGTGTATAGAGTTCACCCCTTTTACACAATAACCCCTCCCAAAGCTAACAATGTCCCTTGAGCCCAGTGAGCCAGCAGCCAAGAGCCTTAGACACTGACGTCTGTAGGAGAACTAGCCGCTGGACATATTCACTACTATTTTCCTGCCTCACTTGCTTTAGGCTGTGGAGTGTCCATTTGGAATTTTATCTCTGCAGAGAAGTACACAGCTGAGTCTGGTACCAGAGATTTGACTATACAGCACTTTTGCAAAACACCCTGAAGGATGTTCTTTTTCCTTATCCTGTCCCTGCATTGCCACCTCTAGAGAGCCACAGTTGTATGAACATCACATGGGGACAAGGAATTCCTTGCTAACCACACTTGACTATTCTTCAGTCATCTTGTAGTGCACTGCCAGATTAAAAAATTTTCAGTTTAGAGTTTTGTTATCATTTTAATTGTTTTACTAACTATGTGGGAAGAAATTGTCTAAAGAAAATGCCTTTAACAATCTTGTGTTTTATTAATTTTGTTTCTTTTACAGATGTAATTATATTAATTAAATCAGACAGTGTCCATCTGTACTGTAATCCTGTAAACTATCGCTATCTCTTACCCTGTGTGGCACATTGGAGAAATCTGCATTTGCACTGCATGACTGAAAATGAGGTAAGGAGAAAAGATAGAATAGGCACTTAGAGATACTCTTAAGAATATTCTTTCAAGAAAGTGTAGATCTGGAACAGGAGTCCCTAAAAAAGTCAAATTGCAGAATGTGGAACTTCTTATATTTCATTATTCAGCTACCTTATGAATAAATTGTATGCCTGAAGGAGACAGAAGGAACTCCAAATTGGGATTTAGTATAGGCTTATGAAGCTGCCTTCCTACCCTGCTTCATTACCAGCCTGCACACATTCTCTCAGGGGGCTATTGCCTACATACTGCTCCAGGAGAATTAGATAAGCTTTTTGATATTTATGTGTTTAGATTTCTTGGTATCTGTTTCTGTTTTCCTTTGGGCCCATTTCAAGGGTTAGGCTGGAAATCAGATTGGGATTTGAGATTTAGGATTTCATGGAAATTGTGACCTGATATACATAAAAAATCCTTCCCATAAGTATTTGGGGAATTTTTGAGGACAAGTTTTAGCTCTTCCATTTAAATCTCTGGTCCATTTTGAGTTGGTTTGCACTTGAGGGCATTGGGTGAGGTAAGGGAATGGCAGTGTTTTTGAACAGCAAACATGAAATGTGGCTTTGGAAACACCCTCTTGGGTACAATCTTCTATAAGTGTTCCTTGAGGCGACTCTGATAAAATGCAGAGAAAATATGGGAGTTTGCATGATGTCTTACAAGAGCCTGTTTTCTTTTCAATTTCCCTCTTTAGTATGAAGATGAGGAAGCTGCAGAAGAATTTAAAATTGCCAGCTTTGTGGACATGGTTCGAGACTGTAGTAGAATTGGCATTCCTTATAGCTCCCAAGGTGAGTGAGTGTCTGACAGTGAGCCGTTTTAACCTTGCTTGGATGGTATGTGAAGCACATGTCCCTACTTCTCCTTTCATTGGACGCATTCAGCTGGGAAACCCATTGATCTATTGTCACTAAAGTCAGAGACTGAAGCAGAAAGGAATTTGGGAACTATGTAAGCTTGTATTCATAACCGAAGTTTCTGCAGCAACAAAGCAGGCCACCTACAGTCAGACAGAAAAACTGATAGGCATTTACACAATTGCCATCTAGTGTGTACCCTTATTGTACACAGAGTGTAGATGTGGGCCTCTTGGTAATAAGAAACAGTAATCGAGTGACTATTAAAAATATGCTGACAGTGAGGCTCAAAAATGATGGGTAAAAAATATAGGAAAAAATCCACAAGTTTAATAGTGCTTACTAGTATGTCTTATTTTACAAAAAAAAAAAAAAAAAGCTTGCACATTGAAGATACTGTTATAAGAAAGGAAAATTTTTGATTTGGTAATTTTCCCTTGAGAAAGTTGTTTGGATATGTTTTTTAAGGGAGAGAAGCCAAGTTTGGGTCTGTTAATAATTATATCCACTTACTGATGCAAGTCAGATGTAATAGGCCACTATTTATTTATTTATTTATTTATTTGCTTGCTTGCTTCCTTGCTTAGGAAACCAGAATGTGAAAATATAATATAGATAAATCTGAATTTGTGTAACTTGTTTATGGTTAAAGCAAAGGTTTTAACTTCATATTTCTAGTGTTAATACTTAACCATTTGATCTGTTTCAATTTTATTTTGCTAGATGAGGCTGTGGTGAACTTGCGAGAAATGATGCCTGTCTAACCACATTAGATCAGGTTTAGACTGTTATATCCAGGATGGTATTTGATACGTGTTGTTGTATTTGATTCCTCTAGGTCACTTGCAGATATTTGATATGTTTGTAGTGGAGAAATGGCCAATTGTGCAGGCCTTTGCACTTGAGGGCATTGGAGGGGATGGATTTTTTACCATGAAATATGAGGTATGTATAAAAAGTAGTATGCCTGGTTTTTATGAAGGGCCCTCAAAGTGGGTGTGCATCATTATAATACTCTGAAAAGCTGTCAGTCACCTCCCAGCGACACAAAGCAAGTTAAAAGACTTGAAATGGAAAATAGTTCCTGTTTAAAGCTAGTTCCCGTTTAAAGCTAGTTCCCAAACTGAACTCCTGTGTTCGTTCTTTTTGGAGTTCTCTGTCCTCCTTTCTCTCCATTCTGAGTTCTCTCCAGTCTACTCCTGTAGATTTCTAAGCTGACTCCTCTTACAGTACTTATCATTTTGTGTTATTATACATTTGTCATATACCTCCTTTCACAACCCAACCTTCTGCCCCTGGACTCTGGACTGGAAGCTTCTTTAGAACAAAAGCAGAGTCTTTGTTTTTATTTGTTTCTCAAATATTCATATAATTTGAGAACTATTTAAGAGCAAGGAAAGGGACAGTGCAGAATTTTGTATAAGTACCGTGTGCTAGAGAAATAAAAGGGTTTGCTATTCTGGTAAGAACAGTAACTTTTATTTTTGTATTCTCTGTATCTAGGAGATGACCAATAAATATTTGGTAAGTGGGTTAATGAATGAGTCGGAGAGGAGATCACCCAGAGTGCACATTAGGGAGGATGGCCGGGTACATTAGTAAGCGTCACACAGGATCTGCTTGCCTCCCAAGGACTCCCCACTGAGATGACCTGCTCCCAACACAGGAAACCAGGAGAGGGAGGCATACTATCAGAGGTAGAGTAAGTGGGGCCTTTGGAATAAGGCCCAGTGCTAATTCTTACGCTCCTTCTGAGAAGTAGCAGGGTCCATAGGAAATAAATGGAGATTTGCCTGGCAGACTCTGTAATGTGGATAAGCGTGGGCTGTAGGGAAGTGCTGAAAAAAAACATACCACTTGATTCCACTTTTCCTGCTCTAAAACCACAGTATTCCTTAATGGACTCACAGAGCATCAGCAGGCTGTGTTGGACCTGCCCTAACAAGAAGTAATGCTCTCTAATTTAGAAGAGTAGGAGCTAGAATGGAAACAATGCATAAAAGATAAAGTCCATATTTTTAACAATAATGATAATATTTATTGTTAATTAATTATAGAAACTGGGCATTTATAGAGTGCCTCCTATATATCAGGCACTATCCTAACCACTTTATATGAATTGACTTTAATTCTTACCATAGTAACCATAGTTGGTCCGAAGGTTGTGGGTTATTGTTAAGCTAATTCTTACAGTAACCCTCTGAAGTATGTACTGTTACCATCTGTATTTTACAGAGAGGTTAAATGAACTTCCCAAAGTCACAGAGCAGCAGGGCTGGGGTCCAGTCCAGGGAGTTTGGCTTCAAAGCCTCGGCTGCTGCTAGATTAGCATTGGAAAGCAGTGCACTAGGAAGCTGCATGATTCATGCAACCCAAATGAGGTAGCCCTCTGGCTCCTGCCTTAAGGTGCATCACACCATGAAGTCACAACCCAAAGGAGTAAAATCCCCTCCCAAAAAAACCTTTACAGAGCAGTGTAGACTTTTAGTGTAGGGCAGTGTTCTTAGGGGGTGGGATGGGTAGTTAGGAGGAAACAATATGTCATTTAGTAAGAGCAGGGGAGGTGGGACACAGGAAGGGCAGAGGAAGTAGAAAAGTATCTCAAGATCCCTTTCTTAAATCCTGCTCTTCTCTGTAGCTGCTAACTTTCATTCTCTCAAATACTTTCCTGTGTCTTCATCTCATTCCCCACTGCAACCCCCACTCAGAGTTTTCCTTACCCTGTCCTTCCCAGTCCTTTCAGATATGGAGCAGCTTAGCCTACTGATTGGCTCTGCATTATACACTCTGATTCACATATCAAAGGCTAAGAGAACTACAGATATATATAACTTAATTTTTTTTAACTTCTGTTTTATTGCATGGCCATATCCAGAAGAAAGTTGTTAATTCAGAGGATGTTTTGTCCCTGATGTCAGCATGAGAAAGGAAGCCCAGTTCTACATAGCATTCACTTGGTATTTAGGCTGGGCCAAACTCAGTTATGGATATAGAGAAATCTTCCTGGGAAGCAGTACAGGGAAGCTCCTCTGATAGGGCTTTCCCTGCCTCCAATCTCTTTCTTCTTATTCTCCAGCTGCTGGAACTGTGACCTGATAATATAAATTTACATCATCTAGCTCCCAAGGAGAAGATTCTAAGAGCAAACTTCTGAATAAGGAGGGTAACCATATAGTGAGCATTTATTTAGCTTTCAATACATGAGATCTTTGCATTGAAAAGTAGAATAAGATTTATGAAAAAATTCAACAAATATAAGAAAGAGACCATAGCATATTAGATGCAGTCCAGCATGGTTTTTTGTTTTTTTTAAAAAAAGATTTCTCCCGAAAATAAAAATTGGGGGAAAAAACCTCTTGTGTTTTTTAAGAATGGAATTTGTAAAAAGAAATGAGATATGGTAGATAGAGCAAGCAAATTAAGGGAGAGGGATGACATCCAAGGAAAGATTATAAGTCTCAAAATTCATTAGTAGAATTTAAATTTGAATTTAAAAGAAATCAAATCCCCACAAAAACCTAATCATTTGACACACTTAAAAAACTGTTCCAGAATACAGAGGAAGAGGCCAAATAGATTAAGTCAATAATAAATGAGAAGATAAAATGGGGGATAAAGGATGGAAATTGGTAGTATTGAAAATCAAGGGATTAATTGAAAGTCGTTATATAATAGCTTGTGCCTCTTTCCCCAAACCCTGCCACTGTCTCCCAAGTGACAGGCAACGAGGCATTTACCAACTGCCACCTCCACCCGAGGAAAAACAAGGAACAGGGTGAGGGGGTGGGTTTCTCTAAAGAAACTGAAAAATAAGACAAAAAAAGAGAGAGAGAGAGAGAGAGAGAGAATTCATTGGCTAGTGTAGCATTTCTTGCCTAAGAATAAAGCTCTCCACATCTTGACATTTAGAGTAGTATAAATGGGTAGGGATCCTGGAATAACAGCCTCCTGCCTGTCTGCTCTACCCCAAAAAACTTCCTGATAGTTGACAAGCTGTTGAGAGCATAAAGCTTCCAGTCAGCCCTTACATTTGAAAATGCAAGCAGGCCACCAAAGATCACAAGACATTGTATTAAATACCTAAAAGGGATAAAAAAACAACAATTTTTTTTTTAAAAAGGACCAACTGAATAAGACTCCATAATAATTTAAGATATACAGGAAACTTAAGGCATAAACTCTCCTTAGGATTTCCAGAGAAATTTAAAAATTTTTGGCAACCAAAAGAACAAGTGTTTTAGCTGAAACTGATTTAGCTCAGTGGGTAGAGCGTCGGCCTGCAGACTGAAAGATCCCGGGTTCGATTCGGGTCAAGGGCATGTACCTTGGTTGCGGGCACATCCCCAGTTGGGGGGAGGGGTTGCAAGAGGCAGCTGATCGATGATTCTCTCTCATCGATGTTTCTAACTCTATCCCCCTCTCTTTCTCTCTTAAAAAATCAATAAAATATATTAAAAAAAAAAAAAAAAAGAACAAGTGTTTTGATGTGATAAAGAAATGTAAGGAAAATAACTCTGGAAAATTTTAATTGATAAAATCATAGAGGATTTGTAAGATAAAGTTAGGGAAATCTCTACAAAATGTAAACTAATTTAATCAAGGAGATAGAAAATAATGAGAAAAAGTTAAGTCATAGAGAACTGATCCACGAAGTCTGATATCCAACAAGTGTAAATTCCAGAAAGAGAGTAATGATATTAGAAGAGAAGAAATTAAAAAAAAAAAAAAAAAAAAAACAACAACAACAACAAGTATTGCCCAGGCAGCATGACTCAGTGCTTGAGGTCAGGGTTCCATTCCCATTCAGGGCACTGGCCCAGGCTGTGGGCTTGATCCCCAATAGGGGGCGTGCAGGAGGCAGCCAATCAATGATTCTCTCTCATTGATGTTTATCTCTCTCTTTCTCCTTCTCTCTCTTCCTTCCTCTCTGAAATCGGTAAAAAAATATATATTTTTAAAAAGCAAGTCATAGTATAGTGTGTACCTGGCCTGCAATAAATAATATATGGTATTAATATTATAAACAATAATTACTGGTATAACCAAAAATCATATTATGATATTAGATAATGTTAAGTTGTGTGAGTTTCTGTGTATGTGTAGAGAAAATGTATGGGAACATTGAGGAAAAGCTATATCTTTGCCATAAGTCAATATTTATTTTCTAAATTGATAGATCAAGAAAATAAAAATATATGGGTGTGTGGGAAGAGAACCAAAACACTTATATGCATATATGCATAACCCATGGACACAGACAATAGTGTGGTGAAGTCTGGGTGGTGCAGGCAAAAAGGAGACATCTGTAATACTTCCAACAATAAAGATAATTTTTAAAAATAAATGAATAAATAATAAAAATAAGGAAAGAAAAAATAGAGATATAGGTATATTATAATAAAATATGGAGGCAACTACCAGAAGGAAATGTTGAAAGACTTAAGTGGTTGCCCCTGAGGAGTGAGTTTTATGAAAGGTTGCAGTATGGGAGTACTATTTGATTTTTTAAAACCATGGACATTATTATTTTCATTAAAATTTTATTTTAAACAAGAGCAAAAAAAGGATATACACATATATGTATGTATAATACGTATATGTATATGCATTTGTATGTATATAAATGTATGCCCATCATTTAAGATATTTTAAAAATGTACTAAAGGCTCGATCCCCAGTAGTGGATGTGTGGAAGGCAGCAATCAATGATTCTGTCTCTCCCTCTCCCTTCCTCTCTGAAAGCAATAAAATAGATATATGTTTTTAAGATGTACAAAAGTTTCTGAAAAGATAGTTTCCTTGAATGGGACACCATTTATCAGTATGTATAGGTTCTAATGTGACGGATAAAAATAGCATTACTCTAATCACTTGGGTTTTCATAAAGATAGTCATTTCTGAATGTCAGAAAATATTTTGGATTGCCTTAATGATATTGACTATTATTTTAAATTTTTGCCCTTGTGTTGCAGTTGCAGGATGTGAGTTTGAATCTATGGAATGTCTACAGCAAAATGGATCCTATGTCTCTGGAGAGTTTGCTTTCAGAAGTAAGGAGCCAAACTATATTTTACTTACAAATATTACTCTTATTTACTAATTGTCTTTAACTTGAAGAAATGCAGAATACATTTTAGTTCAGTTTAGTCAAAGAATTGAGCAGCTTCTTGAACTCCTTGAGGGTAGAAGGGGGCCTGGAAAAGTGATCCTACCGTTCTACGCTGAGAAAACCTCACCTTAGTGAGACCAAGGCCGCGGCAGGTCCAGCATTTTGGTTTTCATTTAAAGGCATTCTTTCTGTTGGGCTGGACTGTAGGAAAACAATTGTTAGGGTGACTTTTTCTACTCTCTCTGGCATGAAAAGATAAAAAAGATGGGGGATGGCTTAAAGGGATAAAAGATTAAAGCACAAGTCAGCAAGCTTTTTCTATAAAAGACTAGACAGTTATGTTTTAGGTTTTCTGTGTACCCTGAGAGCAGCTGCAGATAATGCTTAAACTAATGGGTGAGTCTGTTACCAGGAAACTTTATTTATAAAATTATGTGGCCTGTCCACAGGCCATAATTTACCAGCTCCTGGATTAGAGAGTCAGACATTAATTTTTCATCTGAACTTTGAAGGAAAAATTCAGGGTAGAAAGAGCAATTCACATTGGGGAGCAACAAGGAAAATTAAGGAATAGATACTTTGGGTTAAGCAGCTCAGTAGTATCTCTCAGTGATCAAGGATAGATATACATGGAAAAAGAAAGCTTATAGCCTTCAAATGAAATTAGCTAAAATATCAAAGCCCCTCCAAACAAAAACAACACACCAGTCTCACAAATATCAATGCCTGTATTAAGTGAAATGTTAGCAAACAGAACCCATTATCATGTTAAAAGCATGTTCTTTGCCCAGTTGGCATGGCTCAGTGATTGAGCTTCGACCTATAAATGAGGAGGTCAAGGTTCGGTTCCTAGTCAGGGCACATGCCTGGGTTGTGGACTCGATCCCCAGTAGGGGGCATGCAGATCAATGATTCTCTTTCATAATTAATGTTTCTATCTCTTTCCCTTTCCCTTCCTCTCTGAAATCAATAAATACATATTTAAAAATAAAAATAAAAGCATGTTCTTTAATGAAGTAGGGCTTATTAAGGGTTCAATATTTAATATCAGGAAATCTATTAATGTAATTATTGTACTAATTTTTCTTCTTGGAGCCATTTATGACCCCATAGGTGACAAAAGGCATTTAATAAAATTGAACATTTATTCTGTTTAAACATTTCTAATCAAATAGGCCTATAAAAGAAAAATAAAACTGAACTATTTGTTGTTTTTTTTTGGGGGGGGGGGGGTGGGGAACCATAGTCATCATCATCATCAACCACCTATGGCTATCCTAATTATGGTGAAAAATGCAAAAAATTACATTAATAATGTAATAAGAATGATAAAGTGTAACCACATATAGAGAAGAGAGGTAAGTAGTTTAGGAGTTTCTAAAAGTGTCTGAAACCTGTGCTCCCCCTGGATGCAGTGCCCTCAGTGTGAGGAAGCTTTAAGTCACACATGGAGGCTAGACATAGCATTGTAGTTTTGAGAACACTGCAAGCATCTTTAGCGTCAGTGAAGAAGGGACACTTAGTAGGACATCTTTAATTGCAACGTCTTCAATTGCAACAGTGACATTCGACTGAAGAGACAACCATGATAATCACTTTGGGCTTTTCCGATTTTACTGATTTTCCATGAGGCTGATATTCTTAGGTGATATAGAGAGTCAAAAGAAATTGCTATCACCCTAACAACCAAAAAAGCCTGAATAAGCAACAAAATAATAGTTTAAAAATAAAACCATTAGCAAGCTGGAGATTCAAAGAAAGCTGAAAGAACTCGGTTTCAGAAAATGTAGGGCCCTTCATAGGATGCTGTTCTGATTTCTGGTGGAACAGCAGAAGGAAGAGGAATCCATTATAGACAGGGATAAGTAGAAATCAGCTGACCTTTAAAAGAGCTGTTAAAAACCATCAACTGTATCCCATAGTGCTCAGGTAGTCACCACAGGCTGGGGGGCCAGGCAAGGAAGTTGAGAACCATCCCCCATAAGGAACTTGACACTCAACTATCACCTGGATTGGAGCAGAAGAACTGAGAGCAACCCTTTGAAGGCATTCCAGGTACTTACAGTGTGTAAGAAGCTACCCTCTTAAGACTGAGGGTAAGGCGGCAAGACAGAGGATCCAAGAGAACTCCTTAGCAACCCCCAAAACTGGTAGCCAGTTGTAAAGCAGGAAGTGATAGTCCAGAAAGCTTGTGGTTCAGCTACACAACACAGAAGAGATTTTTAGAATCTTGGCCAGTGCTTTGAGCAAAGTTTCTACTGAAGTTCACACCCATCCTCAAAATATTTTAATTTGGCGATGAACAAAATAAAACTAAAAATGCAATAATACTCAGGCTCAGTCCAATTATATATAGAATTAACTTAGATCTCTACTCTAGTGTTCTGACAAAAGAAAGTGTGTGCCCTTTCCTAGAGGTAAATATTATTTACCCGTTTTTACTGTTCTTTCATACCAATGAGTGGCATATTATATTTGAAAAATTGTAAAATATGAAGCAGCAAGAAAATAGGATCTGGGGTCAAGAAAGAAAATACTCAATAGAAGCAGACCCAACTGTTAAAATTAACCAATGAATTTAACTAGTAAGAATTCCAAAGTATATGAAAGAAAAAGGAGACAACATGCATGAAGAGATGAGGAATTTAGTCAGGCCTGAAAATTATAAAAAGAAACACATGGAAAAGCTAGATATGGAAAATACTATATCAGAAAAGAAGAATGTATAAAATTGGCTTAGTAGCAGATTAGAAAAGTTCAGTGAACTTGAAGATAGGTCAATAGAAAGTTTGTAAACTGAAGGACAAAGAAAAAAAGAGCATCCAGTGTCTGTCAATGTCAAATGATCTAACAGTATATTTGGAGTCCCAAAAGGAGAGTAGAGAGAAAATAGGGAAGGAAATTTGGATTGGTAATGTCCAAGAACTTTACAAATTTATGCATAGATCCAAGAAACTCAGTGAATCCCAAAATAAAATAAATATGTATATATAAAAAAAGAATCTTCATAGTGTATGGGCTCTTCCGTTATTCAGAGCATGACCTTGGACCTGTTATTTCCACTTTCTGAACTCCAGCTCCCTCTTCTGTTAAATGGGTTTTATTACCCATGCATGTTAGAGCTGTGGTGGGGATTTAATGAGATATATATGTGAAAGCACATTGCACAAGGATGATCCATACTACATGCTCAATAAAAAGTAACTTTTTCTCCCCAAAATAAATAAATAAATAAGAATAAAATGACTATAAATTTGGTATCTCTTGTGATAAGTCTACAAATGTTAATAAAATCCATCTCCAATAACCAAAAGAAATAAAAATGCAATTCTAGTCATTACTGTGTCTCTAGAAATTATTTTAAAAGACACCAATTCACATCCATCTAATTTTTAAGAGCTATTTTTTTCTTCTCTCTTCTCTTGTTTCATAGCCTCCAAACTTCTCTAAAACCCCTTTTTCTCTCTACCATCTAAATACTTTTCCTATTTTTATTATTTTTCCTTTGCCAGAATTGGAATCTAGGCTTTGATTCTTGTTGGTCAATCACTGATGGCCAGAGAACCTACAGTTCCATGCTTCTTGGTCACAAAATGCAGACTCCTCTGAAATTCGACATAGAAACATGTTTGATGAGAATACTAAAAGAGCAGAGTATATTTCCATCTTTGTAAAAACAGTTTGTGTTTCTGTGTATTAGAAACTTCAAGTGGTAGTCTTACTGGTATTTTTATTTTACTTTTCATAGTCTCTATTTTATGAAATTCTTTGAAGTAATTTTAAGTATTAAAATTGAGCTTTTTTCCCCCCTTTGAGCCACCTGAGAACTGCCACTGCCCATGCCAGCCTAGGGCCAACATCCTTCCCCACTGGCCAAGGGCCAAGGCACACTGGCATGTTTCTTGGGGTTTTCAGACCTTCGCTGCTTATCTGACCTTGATATCTATCTGGGCTTGTCTTCTGGATTTGACCTGGAAGAGTGTGGGCAGATAGATTTTCCCTTCTTCATCATGAGATTCAACTGACAGTTCCTCGGACATGCACAGTATCCATTTCCAGAAATGCACAAAAGAGTGTGCTGGGGCAAAGTTAGAGAAGAGTGTGTCTGGTGGGAAGCATGCAGGATCTGGGTATCTCTTACCTAGCTATGTTTCCACTTTTGCTACTTGATAGTATTGCATACTCAGGCAGGTCACATTACTATTCAGTGCCTCAGTCTTATCTACAAAGTGGTCCCGGGAGCAGTTAGGGGTGATCAGGCTGGCAGGCAGAGAGGGGTTAGGGGCAGCAGAATACTGCATGTATGTATGTATATATGAGACCGTTTCATATATAATACTAATTATTTTTAGTATGAAAATTTATTGTATCTTCCATTTCATATATTTTCTTACTGATGAAAGAGAAGGAGAAACCAATATGAGAGAGAAATATAAATAGGTGGCCTCCTATATGTGCCTCAACTAGAGATCAAATTCCACAACCTGAGTACCTGCCCTGCCCTAGAATGGAATCTACCACCTTCTGGTATATGGGATGGCACTCCAACCAACTGAGCCACACTGGCCAGGGCTGCATCTTCCAATTTAGTCACAGCGTGGAGCTGAAAGTAGTATTTAACAGTTCATTCTACCTTATTCTGTAATTAGTGCTGACACATCCACCTCTGTCAGGGAAGTCTTCTTGGGGCAAAGTACCTATCTTTTTCTGTGTATCCCCCCAAAGCACAGAGTGTTTTTCACATAGAGAATGACTGCTGTTCAACTGTATAACTGTTCTTGTTATAGATCCGAACCAAGATAGATGTCACCTGCCCTGGCCAGTGTGACTCAGTTAGTTGGGCATAATCCCATGCATCGAGGGATTGCCTGTTCGATTTCCACCCCCACAAGGGCTCAATCCCATGTTACACCTTCACATCGATGTTTCTCTCTCCCTCTC